AGAATTGTGTCGATGTCCCAATATTTCTGGACCTGACTGTACGTGTTTCTCAGCATAACGGAAATCAGTGATGTTTTTTTGTGAGTTGTCATGCTTAGGACTGCATAGATACTGTTTAAAATCCAAGATGAAAATTTAGTGTGAGTTTCCCAATCTTTGTTTGGTAACTCTATTTTTGTTGTTTATATCTCTCAGAGAGTTTCCAGGACTAGTGATTTGGGAATTAGAGACATTGTTTTGCAGTAGTCCTTTCCTGTATCTCAGATAGATTTCAGATGGTGTCTTTTGGAGCTGTGATATGATATCCTTTATGTATCCATCCTGTCTCCAATGCATTTCAACATCTATGTGAAATTTTGGGGAGATCCTCAGGAGATTTGGAACTAAGTGCTAGGAGTATGTTGCTGACACCAAAATCTATTTTTTGTTGTATTTTCTGGTAACAATGTGGCTCCTCTGAAATATCTCCCTGCAATTGATAATTGGTTGGATGAGGGATCATATTATCTGTAGTTGATATGCCAACTTTGTCCCTTCCAAGAAGAGAATACATTGATCTTAAACAGTGGTTCCTGTGCTTATAACCTTGAGGCTTGGCTATTGCATGGGACTTCCTTTCTGTACGGTCCAGAAATTTCAGTTGAAGCAAAACACATCAGACAAGCTGGGCTTGGGAAAAACTCATACAGATCACATTATACGCACATTAAGCTAACTGCATTTTATTGGCTGCCAATTGATTTTGGGAGAAATGCAAAGTACTGGTTATTAATTTTTGAAGTCTTATATGGTTTATGTTCTGGGTTTTTGAGAGAATGCTTCTACCTATATGATTACCCTCATCATTGAGGTCATCAGGAGAAGTTTGCCTACAGTTCTTGCAGGCCCATCTTGTGGTCACTCATAGCTGAGCCTCTAGATAGCTGGCCCAGGTCTCTGGAATGTACTCCCTACTGATTTGAGGAACTGACCTCTTTGTTAACTACGAAAACACCGTTTTTTAAAAACAGGCCTTTTTCTGTTGTTAATTATTTTAATAGTTCTTTTAAATGTTGATTTTAATATCTCTGGTTTTAACAGTGGTTTTATGTTCTATTGTAATCTGGGAGGAACTTTCAATGGTTGGCTAAATAATAATGCATACATTATATTAAGCCGGGGCTTCATTATCCATGTTCTGTTGAATAAACCACAGTTGGCTAGATTCACAAAATATGTTGAATCAGAACCAAATACTCCACATTATAACTTTGTACACTGAATGAACCCAGGCAGTCTTAGTGAAAGTTATGGTAATCAAAACCTCTGTTAGTATTCACAAATGACAGGTTCTTTCTCTGAATTAAAAAGCCATTTGTGCTGCTGATTTTTGCATGGAGTAAGTCAGGCACTGAGGGGCATTAAAAAAATCAGTTACTGACAGTTATGGGGGAAGCTGACCTGTCTAGTTGCAAATTCTTAGAAGCCCTCTGGGATCAATAACATTTCAGGGAAATGGCCTGGAACAATTATGTTGTCTCATAACCCTCTTGAGAAGGCCTAAACAGGAATGGCATGACAGACCTTATCATACTGATGTTTTGGGGCATGGCAAGGATGAACAAATCATTTCAGTTCTGTGCACATAGAGAGAGAGGCAGATGAACCGATAAAGTGGTGAGACATTGTTCTGCTCGTTCCTTACACATCTGCCACTTCCCATTTCTTTACAAAGTTAATGGAAATTTACATACTGAGGAACTTTAAAAGTCAGCCCAGAGAGCATATTGACAGAATGAACCAAATTGCCCACAGCAGTTTTGAGCTCTTAGCTTGGCCTTAGTAGTTTTACATTGTAGTACCTCATAGAGAGGGAAGACTAGTCTGAGAATGAATCCTAACTGAAGAGTTTGCCTCTGAGAAAGCAGAACATTTTGACTGGGCCCCATTGGTTTCCTCCAGATAAAAAGGGGAGTAGAATTTTAACTAAGGGTCGAGTAAGTATGTTATATACATAATCACATCTGTTTTCCAATCACTGCAATTGTGGCCAGAAGGTTTCTGGCCCAATTCAAAGTGCTGGTTTGACCTTTAAAGCCCTACATAGCTTGGTCCCAGGGTTACTTTAGGGATTTTCTTCTCTAGGTGGAAGCTTCCTGGTCTGTTCATAAAGAGATGGAGGGAATACTGCGGATATTCTCCCTAAAGAATTCAGGGGGACATGAACCCAAAGGTGGTGGCTCCATGCTCTATAATGCCATGCCCTGGAGGGTTGCTTGGTACCCTCCCTCTTAGCCTTCTCCAAGCTGGTGAAAAACTGTTTTGTTTGAACAGACACCTGGAGTTTAGCAGGTTGCTCAATTTTTATTCTGCATCACTAGTGGGTTTTTGTTTTGTTTTTTGGTTATTTGAACAACTGAACTGGGTGATATAATAAATAAAGTACATTTCTGTTCTTTATTTCTTTTTGTTAAAGAAAAGAAAGATAATTCTAATTGGATTAATATAATAATCCATGAAAAACACAGGTTTAACCTTTCTCTCCCCGGCCATGATTCTTTTCGAAATCATAGCCTTCTTCCCATGACACTTAAAACACACACATTTGTATACCACCACCATCCACCCCACTTCTCACTGGCTCTCACAATCTTTTTCCCTGTTTTATAGGGTGCATTTAGGTGATCTTTGGGTAAGCAGGACATGGGAAGAAGCAATTAAGCTTCCATCCCTGTGCACTGCAACCCTAATCCAGGTGAGATATGCCTTTACTTTTAAATAAAAGAAAGAAGAAAATAGAACAGCGTGCTGTGGTTTTAATACTCTATAATGCTTGACCATTTGAAGTCATTCATAGGGAAAAGAAAAAAGAAAAGAAAAGGCATGTGTGCATCTCTAGGCACTTTTTGTCTATTACTAAGGTTGTTTTAGTTTCTTGCAACTCCTTATGCTTTGTCATTTTTTGAGACAGATAGGCTGGGGCCTCCTGTGGACATAACGCTGGATTCTTTGAACTGCACAGCACTTAGTATTCAATGGAGGATGCCTCAACAACATGCAAATACCATCACAGGGTACACTGTAAGTATCTTTTGATTTCTTTCACCAGAAATATATAGGTAATTAAAACACACTTTTAATCGGAGGGTCAGAGTCAAGGGCACCTGCTGGAGGGAGGGGGAGTGTGTCAACAAGTCAGGATGATACCTATGACCATGCAGTTGAAGTCCCCATGGTTGTGGTCACTATCTTGATCTTTTTGACCACTCTGTGGACACCCCTGGTAGACAGATGCCAAAGTAGATGCCTTAGGTTGTTTTATATCAGACATATAAAGTTCTAAGCTGAATTTTGGTCAGGAGAGATCAGCTTCTCCTCTTTCCAAGGAGAAGCTGGCTGTGTTTCTTTTGCTCTCAAGAAGGTGAATACTTGCTTCTGGATTTTGTGACAAATTATGAAACCAACTTCTGCTTCCTAGTCTACCTGTCCACAGAGTTGATTGGTTCACTCATAAGGGAAAGAAACCAGTGCTTTCCCTCCTTAGCAAAGTATAGCTTTAGAAACCAGTTAGCAAGGTACCTTCCCTTAGGAAGCGCTCCCTTCCCTTAGTGCCCTTAGCACTTTTTCATTTTCTTAATGGTTAGTCCAGGGCGGCAACTACTACAGATGCGGCAGTGGAAGTCAGTAAGATGTTCTGTAGCAAATTGCAAGATGTGCTAAATGTAATATCAAGAAGGGATATATGCATTTGGAAGCTGCAACTGTTCAGAATCCAGTTTTGGGTGCTCCACGGTTCACTCGAGTAACACCAGTGCCGAGTGACCTGCACTGGCTTCCAATTGCTTTCCGGGTGCAATTCAAGTTGCTGATTATGACCTTTAAAACCCTAAATTGCTCAGGGCCAGGTTACTTGTGGGATCACCTCTCCCTGCGGGTATCTTCCCGTCCTACTAGGTTAGATTGGGTGGGCGTGCTCCAGGTCCCCTCCCTTAAATGTTGCCATCTTACGAGACCTCGGAAGTGTGCTTTCTCAGTGGCCACCCCAGCCCTTTGGAACAGCCTCCCACTGAGATCAGAGGGATCCCTACCCTTTTAGCCTTCTGGAGGGCTGTGAAGACCTGACTCTTCCCCCAAGCATTGGGCTAGGATGGGGTTGAGCTGGGAGGATGTTTAGTCTGGCGCCTGGAGGGAAGGGTACTTTTGTTTTTAGCCATGTTTTTATGGATTGTTGTGAACCACCTAGAATCATTTTATGAGATAGGTGGCCATATAAGTCCTGTATATAAAATAATAAAATCAAATCTAATGGATGATTGGTATGCAAAAGTTGGAGAAATGGAGAAGAGAGGTTTTGAGAAGAAAATGTGCTGCACACACCTGTTTGAAGCATCATAAAAAGAGATGCTCAGATGGACAGCACCAGATGTACAACATCAGAATCAAATTGGCTATCTCCTAGAAAACAGAAGATGGAGAAGTGCAATCCATTTAACCAGGGCTTACCCAGTTGCAGATTGTGGTATAGGCCATGAATTATTGGTGTTAAATGTATGAGTTAGAATTATAAAATTAAAAAGTTTATGTGTGCCAGCAAAATTTGACTTGAAGGACCTAAAAGATCTATGTTGCTTAAGTTACATGAAAGGAGAACCCAAGGAGCTCTGAGACAATATATGGGACATTATAAAACTCAAAGTATAAAAAATATTCCCAGAATTTCAAAGAGGAAAAGATCCAGAATAAGCTATTTTCATAAACAGAGAAAAGTGAAGGATGAAAACCTTGGACAATAAGAGTGATATATTAAAACTGAATGCAGGCTTCTGGCATGAAGCAAGGTAGGACAAAGGAAGCTATTTTAATCAAGAATGTCAACAATAGATTTAAATAACAAGTAAAATAAAATAAAATATATATTTTTAAAAGATCAAAAAAATCACATTAAAAGTTACAGTTAAGGTAGGAATGCTCCGTAGTAATCACAGGAGAGATCTAATAGATTAAAATGAGATTAAAAGAAGATTAAAAAGGCTATACTGAAACCCTTTAGAATTCAAATTATAGAATGACAGAACCATTTGGGAAAAGGAAATATATTCAGGAACTCTAGAAAATGAGGCATGAAAAGGAATAGTCCAGTTGATAAATAGAGAAGCATCAGGTGTGAATTATTTAAAGCTGTAGATGAAGTGCCAATAGCTCTCAATTAACAAATATGGAACAAGACTGTATGGTCTAGAGTTCTGGGAAGATTGGGGTGTATATCTGAAACTAAAGAAGGGAGATGTGAAAAAAATCTTCTTGAAAGCAACATTTTTAAGGTGTTACAAAGAAAAAAGAGTGATACATGGAAAAAGAAATGGTAAATTAACTAATAGGTTTCAGAAAGGCAGAGGGACACAGGATCAGATGCCTGAAACATAAAGGATAACGGAGAGAGCAAGAGACTATAAGAAGGAAATATACCTTTTTCTTTATTAACTACAACTAGGCCTTTGATTGTAGATCATGCCAGAGTGTGGAATATATTAAGAGTAATTGGCATGCAGGAACATCAGATTATTCTTCAGAGGGACTTTACAATGAGCTACTGTAAAAAATGAATTTGGAAACATGAAGTGGTTCAGAATAAAGGGAGTGAGATAAGGATACATATTGTCCCCATATATTTAATTTATACAATGAATATATTATAAGTATGATAGGGTTACATGAAATGACAGATGGATTCAGACTTAGAGGCTGAAATGCTAATCGTTTCAGATATGCAGATAATACCACTTTATTAGCTAAATGTAAAGAAGATTTAGCTAATTATTAAAGTAAAACTAGAAAGTAAAAAAGACCCATGATCATGGAATAAATAAAAACTGACTCCTCCCTTGAACAAAGATCAGCCAACAGAAACTTGCATACTTTGGGGATGTGATATGAGCAGATGATGGACTATTAAAACTGACTGTGCATGGCAAGTTTGAGGGAAGTAGGAGGAGGAGAGGACTGTGATAAGGCAGGTGAATGGGATCAAAGTGGTTATAGGGTTATCCTTGGAAGACCACAGGATATTATTGGAGACAGGGTGGGATGAGGACTATTTGTCCATGCAGTTACCTGGAGTCAGACATGATTTGATAGCACCTAACTGTACAGTTAGTAGAGCCTTTGATGTCCATATCAAAGAAAGAAACAACTATTTATTTGTTTATTTGGGGACAGAGAATTCCAAACTTACCATAGTTCTTGGCTTTTGAAGGATAATTATCCATAATCTAATAAAGGATTACTAAACTTCCTTGTTATATCTTGTTTATTTTTTATTCTTTTTATATCTTCATCATCTAGCCATTTTGATGGAGTCAAACACACACACTATCACTGTAGGTTTTGGTTGCCATTCTAAGTGATGTGATAAATTTAATATTGGCTTTAACTATAAAACCTACTGATTTGGTGAAAATAGTTCAATAATCTGAAGTTTGGTTTTCAGTTTTCTTGTTTTTTCCTCTATTTTGATCCAGGAATAGGAACCAATATCCTTGCAGTAATTGCTAAATTATAATTCCCAGCAGTTTCAGAGACCATTGCCAAGAAGAAAGATGCTGGAAGTTGTAGTTCAGTAATGTGTAGGTGGCCATTGACCTGGCAATTACTGTATTTATGCAGTAAAGCTTAACTGTATCCACAATTCCAGTTTCTACTGAAATTGCTTTCACCATTAGCTATTAGTTACCATGCTTTACAGTCTATTGGAAAAAAAAACCTCAGTTATATCTTATTCAGGCCTATTCTGAAATTAAGCTCCACTGAGTTCAGCAGTAATTACTTTCAAATATTTGTGGGTAGGATTGTAATCTGAATGTATTTGTTGCAGAATTTACCATTTTGGTTTGTAACTGATTATGTGCCATCAAGTTGGGGTTGATACACCCCCACCCCCAACACATCCTCTGGCCACAATGAGGCAGCATGGCAGGACCTGGGTTTTTTTGGTGGGGTATTAGTACTATTAACAAATATAATGTGCTTATACACTTGTTGTGTTAATATATTTGCCTTTGTATTACTTTATCTAACATCTGCTCAAGGTGTTTTACACCGAGGTCAAGGCTGATAAGCCAATTAGGCAACAGTCTCATGATGTGCCTGTCAGTTTGGATATGCTCAGTATGGTGAGTATCACCCTGACATTATTTATTTTTAATTTTTATTATGGAAACATTCATATACTGTCTATTCTCTGGATTTTAGGCAGCCAACCATAACAATGTAAATATATATATATAAATCAATTAAACAATGTAAATATATATATATAAATCAATTAAAAAGACACAGAATTTTAGTGTACTGTCCCATCACTGTCCCCCTCACTGTGGTTCTCCTCACCAAAGGCCTTGTGGAAAAGCACTGTTTCTACTGCCTTCCTAAACATTAACAAGGTGGGGACCATCCTGACCTTTGGCAGAATAAGAAGGCTACTATTGAGAGGGCCATTCTCCAAGCCCTTATCCCTCAGCTCTCAGTTATGCATATGAAGTGTTGAAGCTTCTTGTATATAATTAAGTTGATAAACAATGTCATCAACAAATGAACTCTAATTTGATGTGGTCCAGTATATGCAGAGGAAAAAAATGAGGATCAACATATATATTAGGGCTATCAGATCAGGGCTGCAAAAATTCATATGATCATAGGACAACCTCATAAATCTTTGCTCCATCTGTTGATTAACTGGATTTTTGTAGCCCTGATTTGGTAGCTCAACCAGACCTATCATAATCCTTATAAGGACTTCTCATCTAAAACAAACATGGTTTTCGATTCTATCTTCCAGGAACTGCACAATATACTTACCCATTATTAACCATAGTTAATAGTTTAAACTTTTTTATAGTTCCGCCTGAGCGTCTTTTATAGTTTTGCCTGAGGCTCTATACCAGTTGCACAGGCTATATTTATAGACCGCACTAGACTATTGAAAGCAGATGAATGAATGAATGAATGAATGAATGAATGAATGAATGAATGAAT